TTCTGCGGGAGGACTGCAATGTATGTGTTGATGGCTGAGTTTCATTCTTCAGAGTAGTAGTATTCTGGTACGGTACTCTGCCCGTATGGAAACTTTAATTGTTTTAAAACTAGCAAAGATGCCAAGCAAACTGACAATAGAATTAACTTCTACATAGGTTTTGATACTGAAGGAGATACAGCACATTTGGGTATATGGCATTAAGAAACCAGGCCTTGCAAACTCAAGAAATTCAGAACTGAGGGACACGAAAACTGTTTGTGCTCATGTACCTTAACATATTTCGATTTATGTGCAGCTAGGTGTGTGATAATCAGCAAGGAAGCACTGACAAGCAAGGAAAGCCCCACACCATTTGAAACCATTACTTTTAAGTTTTCTAGCGTGTACATGGGGTTTGAACTTCATTTTCACATAGTATTTTTTCTCTTTGAATTATAGAAAATACTAAGTTCAGTCCAGACAGGGTTTTTAAGACTAAAATATACTCCGTATGACAAGCAGTATATTTTCAAAAAGGTTTTTCAAATCTGTAATAAGACTTTACTCAGTCTTCTATAAAAGTATTCACAGGAGCAGTCCTCAGTGCGCAAGTTTGACTAGCTTCATAAAAAAGTTAGAGCTATAAACAGACAGGTTTTGTTTGATTAATGAAGGCGGCAAACCAGCACACCCCCAGACATCATAAGTTCGGCTTTGTAGGGTGACCAGAAGAATGGTTTCCAATGTTTTTTCTTTGCCTCTGAAGTAATTTGTCTTCTGAGGCATGAAGATAAGTCATTGACTTGTGTTGTTTGTCTTCCCAGACTTCCCCATGCAGTTATGGGCATTGTTTTTGTCATGTTGGACACAGCCTAATTACAGTAGATTTGGGTATATTTTGGTTTGTGAAGACAGTGGACTGTTGCGCAGGTGGAAAAGTCAACATTCAGAATTTTACTTAAAAAGTCAAATGCAAAACTTGGCTTCAAATCTTTGGGTCTCGAAGCCAAAGAATATGTACTTTTCTTAAGTATTTGAAAAAAGGTTTTAAAGAAAAAATACCACTAATCATAAAATGTTGACAATCATTTTTTAAATGAACCAGGCCCTTAATTTTGACCTATTAATATGTAGAACTATGATCTCCTATCATGTGATTTAGATACTATTTTAGAGGAACTTGTAAATACGGGGGAAGGAATATTTTCAATAAGCAGCAACGTTGTTTGCTTGACATTGAGCTCCTTCAGAACTTTAACATGTGATATTTAGTATACAATTGTTCTCATTTAAATCCCCTTATCTGCTTAATTGAAATTCCAGTGTCATGTTTGACGTAAAAGTATTCATAATAATACAAAATCATTATTATGACTTCAAGAAAACTTTTGCATACAGAGTTAACAGTATCTCTGAAAGCAACCACAAAACAAACAGACATACCTCTGAAAAGTAAACTTGTGCATCTCTGAGTATGTCTTCTGAGTGATTTACTTTAAGGTCATGTAGAAAATGTGTATTTCAAACCAAAAAAAGAAATTGCTTTTGCGTTTTTCTTTTGTGTTAAATGTTATTTCAGCATAACTGGAGAAATATTTTTAAACAAATAATTTTAACTGAAAATCTTTTAGGAGCATACTAATACTGTCATTAACTGATCCTCTAAAATTCTAAGTGATCTTTTACTGATCGTGTTTGCTTTTGATTTAAAGGGAGAGAGACATGCATGGTAATCTGACTTCTAGTAAATACTTGATGGCAAATTTTAATTCCTATGTAATAACCAATTAATTCTCCTCCTGAAAGTATAAACTGTTTAGATACACAGTATTTTTAAAGGTCAGTTTACTTTGCTACTTCTAAAATTGTTTCTACACTCCAGTGGAATTACTTCTAAGAAATCAAGTTTCTTGCAGCTTTGCAAGCCTCAGAGCTTTGCCCTGATCCATGTGTGCCTCTCTCTCTGCTCTAGCTCTTGCTCTAGCACTATGTTAAACAAAAGGATGTTTTTCTGCCTTGTATTTGAGACAGTTAAAAGCTAATCCTTCTATATGGTGTATTTTAAAATGTTTTCATTGATTAATATAAAGACTTGCTCTTCTTCCTGTGCTGTCTCTGCAGTTTATAGGATGCAGTCATGTTATGCTTCTTTTAATTTTAAATGACCGTTTGCTTTGCTTTTCCTTCTTTTTGTGCTACAAACATAGTGGATTTATGGTCTGTGGGGTGCATTATGGGCGAAATGGTTTGCCACAAAATCCTCTTTCCAGGAAGGGACTGTATCCTTGTGCTGCTGCAGCAGGTTGAATTAGTTAGGAAGTGATTAACCTTTTTTATTGATGTTGTGTCATGAAAATGCGTATTGTACAATTTTTTTTTTTCTACTAAATGAACATGGATTTTTCTTGTGATACACTTAAAAAAAAAAATGTTAAGAACTTCATTTATATTCAGGCTGCACCTAGCAGTAGGACATAGTCTCTGCTGGTCCTGTAGTTAGCATACATTCACCTTCACTCATTTTCATTACACACGCTTTTTATAGTCACTTCATGTGTGTGTCTCTCTCTAGATGTTTTTATTTACTTTATTTGATAACTATCTTTTCTGTTAATACCATTGCATTTTGTTTTCAGTTGACATTTGGTCAGTTGGGTGCATCATGGGAGAAATGATCAAAGGTGGTGTTTTATTTCCTGGTACAGATCGTATCCTTACCTTTGGCCTAGGATGTAGTTGTAAAAGGTCAAAAGATAACCGCAGCAATATAGTTCCAGATTAAGGTGGTTCTAATTTTTAAAATATTAGTTTTAAACTGCCTTTTCAAAATACAATTTGCAAGTTCATAGTTTTGGTTCCAGGAAGCTGCAAAAATGTTTCAGTTATAGCACGTAAAGCAAACCCACAGCACAGCATTTCTGCGTGTGACTGTCTTTGGAGGTTGATACTAAGCAAGATGAACAAAATACCACTTGGGCAAACAGGCTTATTTTTCCTTTTTCTTTCTCCTTTTTTTCCTCTATTTTCTTTTTCCAATCCAATACAGTGTCTATCCATTGCTTTTGGATGTCGTCACATTTAAGACAGATTTTTTGTGTTTGGGTGGTGTTTTACTGGTTCACATGCATTGATTTTTATTTTTTTTTGCTTTGGAGGTCATTTTTCTGTAATAACTTACTAATCTTGTTTAGTACCCAAGCGTGTTAGCAGTTGTTATTCTTTACATTTTATAGGAAATGTTTACAAAAAATTCCTAACCAGCTTCATTAGCTCTGAAGTTTTATATTTTTGCAGGCAGAAATGATCCTGCAAAAACAGAGTTCAGAAATACCTGGTGCTTCTGTCTTTCTGTTCCATGAATGGCTTGGTGGTGTCGGTATGGGTTGGCCTGTGAGCAATGCTTCAGACAGAGGGTCTGCTCCAAGCAAATAGAGCTGAAACCTCTGGATCGTCGCTAAAATTGCTGGATCTAATTGATGTTTGGCATCTCACTTGTTTTACTAGTAGTTATGCTCCATTTTTTTTAGATGCCATCAGAAATCTTTCCTGCTTTTGCTGGAGGTTAACTATGTAGTAATTAATATAGTACCATTTAGGGGTGAAGACTGGGTGAAGATTCGGAGGCACAGTGAGGAGATCCAGGGCACCCTTGCTTCCACACAGCTCTGTCATCGCACGGGCTGCACCGTGCTTACCTTTATGCACCTGGTTTGCGAGCACGGCTCTTCAGTTTAGGCTCAGTGCTATGCACTGTAAATGCTTTTTTTTCCAAAGCCTGTACTGAAGCACTGTAGAGCTTGAAAATCTTTACATAAAGGTCTGCTGTTAAGTTTTAAGAATGTAAGAGGGGGCCTGCTACATCTGACTGAAGGTTTAGGTAGCCCAGTATCCAGTCTTTGATGGTAGCCAAAAAGTTGGGGAGAATATATGAATGAGATAAGCAAGTATAAAATTTTACCTGATCTCTCTCCCAGTATCTAACCGTCTGCAGCTAGGAATTCCTGAGCCAAATGTTGGGGTTTTTTATTTGGTAACCCGTATTCAATTCTTCCGCCATGAACTGGTCAATCTCCCCTTTAACTTGTGTAAACTTTTCAGTGAAGATGTTCCTTACACGTCCTTGAAACTCTTTAATTTCTGTATTCAAGGCTCTGATAAAATTGTTAATTGACCTATGTGGGCCAAGATTCCACCCTTCATGTGCCCGCTGGTGCCCAGTGTGGCATGTCAGTAGTGAGAGATCCCTCGCTTGGGAGGGGCCGAGCTGAGGTATCAAGATGGGAACGAAGGACAAAGCGCCTACACGGGGGAATTCTCACGAGTGCCTCGGTGACGTGTAGCGGCCTGGCTGCTGTGAGCACGTGTTCAGGTCAGGAGCTCAGCCCCTCTCCAGAACCCCAACAAAGCCTTGATTTAAAAGGCTCACAAAATGTATTAGATTAATTTAATTGTCTCTGTTTCTCAGAAGTATATCCTTTGCTAGTTAATTACGATTTTGAGTAAAATGCACGTTGCCTTGCCTTACTCTATCATAGTCGTCTTTGTTTCACTGTTTTCTCTGAGCAGGTAGTCCTAATTAATGATGATGAACTTGGTATTTTGTTATTTTCTGTGTTTGCTCTCTGGTTATTTCATGTGGTTTTAACGTAGCTTTCTAGCTGAACACAGTGTTTTTCTTAGCTGCATAACCTTAGATATTGATCAATGGAATAAAGTTATAGAGCAGCTAGGAACACCATGCCCCGAATTTATGAAGAAACTACAGCCTACGGTCCGAACTTATGTGGAGAACAGACCTAAATATGCTGGATATAGTTTTGAAAAACTCTTTCCAGATGTCCTTTTCCCAGCTGATTCTGAACACAACAAGCTTAAAGGTAAGGTCTGTCTTCTGTGTGTTGTGTATTTTAAAAGTTTTAAAACTGTTATGTATTGAACAGAAATATATCTTGGTTTTGTTCACTATAAAATCATCCCGCTAAGGATTTAGAAATTGCAATATTTATATTGTGGGAGTAGATGAACGTGCTGGCGTACACTTATTTCACTTTCTCGTCTTTTCTGAAACCGTATAGTGAAACATGTCCAACCCCCTTCCCACCTGTGTTATTCTCTTCATTCTTTTTTTCCCTGCCATCAAATGGACCACTTCCCTAAACTGCAAATTCTGTGAGGGTTGCATAGATATTAAACTGGAACTTGTTTACTCCGGGTTTCCTCTCCTTATGAGCTTTGAAATACTGTAGTATCTGCACTATGTATGGCACTAGTCTAAATAGAAAAATTTGCTTTTGCAGCAAGTCAAGCAAGGGATTTGTTATCAAAAATGCTGGTTATAGATGCTTCTAAAAGAATCTCTGTGGATGAAGCCCTGCAGCACCCATACATCAACGTTTGGTATGATCCATCAGAAGCAGAAGCTGTAAGTTCTTGTTTTAGGTCTCTGATTAGGCAGGTACTGTACTAAAGCAAACTTGTTGTGCCTGCTTGAAAGAAGGTTATCGCATGATCTACACATTTCACTAGAAGCTTAACCGAGCCGTAATCACTTTTATTGACATAGATTGACATGTTTATTAGAAATAGTATTAGGAATGGAATGGGCGCAAAGCGAAGTACCTGTATCTGTGTGTGCGTGTTTGTGTATAATTGCATATAACCTCCTGGAATGCATCTGAAATCCTTTCTATAGGGTTCTGATTTATTAAGCTTCAGTTGTTTCAGTGTGGTTTGATTGCCCTTGATAGGATTCTGCAGTATTTACTCCTGGGCAAGAGAAATATTTTCATTAGTTGTAGCAATTGACAGGACTCTTAGACTAGAAAATAAGTATTTCAGCAAAATCTGAGTACAAGATCTTGAGCTTTCAGTTATTAACACTGATGAACAAAGGGATTAATTGAGAAATTGTCTTTAAACATTACTTTCAGGACAATTTCAGCTTATGAGAAAAGTCTCATTTTTTTAAGAGAAAGGTGGTTGGTGATGGCCCACTAAGAGCAGAAAAAGATCCTTGATGTAACTGGTGCAATTAGAATTCTGCTGATCTATAATAGCTAGAGGGAAAATTTAGTAATTAACAGTAAGGTAAAAAGGGCTGCTTGGGCTGGAGACCGCTGCACTTAGGAGCTCTTTTACCAGGCTGTTCAGTTTCTATTTTAATTATTACAGTAATGTAAGCAAATCTGTTAATCAGAAGAAGATTAAAACATGTCAGGCCATCTAGAAAATAGGCCAAGTCCAAGTATGAGAGAATATATGACTGTGTAAATAGAGTATTTTTAAATCAGGTCATATTCCGAGCGCTTATTTTTGGTTTGCATTTATTCTGGTTTTGTATCCCTTTTGATTGCTTTATCATGAGTTAGTTTTGTTTTTCAGCCTCCACCAAAGATACCAGATAAGCAGTTAGATGAGAGGGAGCACACGATAGAGGAATGGAAAGGTAAGAAGGGCATTTTAAGTTTATTAAGGCTTTTGGAAGTAGGTTGGGCCCCAAGGATTACTGTTACTAAGGTTCTTTGAGCAACCTAATAGTATTTCCATAAACTGTTTGGAACGGCAAGGGGACAGATCAGTACTTCACAACCTCTTGATAGTTGGGACAGTAAAAACTTTCTTCTGAAGGTTCTGAACCTTTGCAGTGAACTTAAGACCTCATTTCTGTCAGCTTTTGCAAGCCATAAGACAGCGTTTTTAGGGAGGGTAACTTTTCTGGATAAACTGTTACTGTTGAAAAAGGGACAGGAGTTTGAGCAATGAAAGTCTGAAGTACAAGCACTGTTCTTCAAGTGAAGAGCATATTAGCAGTAACTGTACTCTTCTAAATCAAGCAGAGGATTTGAAAGAATAAGCCATAAGGAGTGTTGGTAATGGGCGAGGTAGTGATGTTACTGCTGGCGTGGGAGACGCTGATGGTTATCGGCTGGGGGATCCTGAGAAAGCAGCTGAAGTGTGGAACAGATCGCAGCGTGACACAACTCGTACCTCCAAGAGCATGGTTTTTAGTGTTCAGAACTGGCTTAGTACGTGTATTTCCTGATTGTACATTAGGTGTGAAATGATAAAGTTAAAGGGTAACGTCTTTGCTACTTGTAAAGCTTGTGCTTCATTTTGAAATTGCTTCTAAAAGGTGGGGTGTTATTGCAAAGGTCCTAGCACTAAGAAAACACACCGATCCAGAGAGCTATGCAGGCTGTAAATGTGCCATTTAAGCAAGAATTCAGTGCATTGAGCAATCTAATACTTTGAACTGAAAAAGTCTAGGAAGGGACATTAAACCTGTATAGCCTTTTTATCCCCAGAGGGAAAAAAAACAGGGAAAATGTTTCATGAATCATTTTTGACAGTTTCAGTGTGCTGGCTGGTAATGGAAACAAGTCTGTAAAATTTAGTACTACCACACTTTTAAGTCGCTTTCTGTTAGAAACTGAGTTTTAATTGTAAAGGCAGAGATAGGGAGAATTTTGGAAATTCTCTTACCATCCTCCTTCCAAGCAAAGTTGCTTCCCTTTTGAGGCAGATGTGCAGAGGGTATTTCAAGCAATATGGAGTTTATTTTTGAGACTCCCACAGCCCTTGAAATTACAATTCTTAAAGGCTTTTTTCTTACAGACTGTGTGTATGTTGTATTAGTTTGCCAGTGACAGTAAGAAGTAGTATTCTGACAGTCAGTTCTTATGAGTTGCATTTAACATGTTTAGTCCTTTCCTTCTGTTGTTACTTCCGTAGATGCACAGCTGAGGTATTTTCTGGGTAATGAGCTGCCATTAGCCTAGAAACCTTCTGGCCAATGCAGAGGGTGTAGGGTTCACGTTAAAAGCACTTCTGGCCTTTTTAAGGATGAGTAAGTTCTGTAAGTGGAAGATACAGTTGCTGCTTTCATTTGGAGTGGCTGCTTATGTGCCAATATAGTATTCCATTTCATGGGGACCTTTAGATGTTGTTGCTGAGGAAATTTAGTGGCAAATGTGTGTCGGGAGGATGGCAGTGCTGTTTAGGTTGTTCCTACCTGTTCCTTTGAAGACTGCTGATGGAGTTTATCTGTAACCAAAGAAGCCATTGATAAAAACTGAGTGGTCATTAAGACTCAGTTTAACCTCGGGTCCCCCGGGAGCCTGGGCAGAGAGTCTTACAGCAATGTCAGTGTGTTCTTGAGAGTGCCAGGCCATTGTAGCTCCAACAGAAAAGAACTATGCATTTTTATATCACTTGTCAGTTGTTCTGTAGCCCCTACAGCCTGTTGTTCAAAACTAATTCAAAACAGTAATAAACCTGTAAAATGTAAATGCACGTTTTAATGGGAGAAGTATTATCAATCCAGGGATTTGGGTTTGCAAATTCATTTTTTGCCTTCCCTTCTCTACATTTTCAGAGTTAATATACAAGGAAGTCATGGACCTGGAGGAGAGAACCAAGAACGGGGTTATACGTGGACAACCAGCCCCTTTAGGTTGGTTACAATAAAAGCACAGTATCAAGCTACACTGAGTTGTAGGTCAGGAGGGAGCAAAGCTGTTCAAGACATCCAAGAGTACCCTAGCTCAAAAATATGGCTATTAAATGACCGATAACTCTTGGATTCTCTTTGAGGTATTGCTTCTTTGAATGGAAGGTATGGGGTTGACATCTCTTTTTATTCATCTGATAAATTCCTCTGTTAGTGTCCCCGTGTAACTCATGCTTCATTCGTTTCAGTCCTCAAGAAACATCTTGGTATGTACTAGTCCTCTATTGCCGTGATCTGGTTAGATGTGTAACCTGTAGCTGGTGCAGTTTCAAATCAAGATCTAACCACTATCTGTTAACTAATGAAACAGGATTTCTAGGTTGTCTGCCTTGAATATTCCCTCTAATCAGAAAGGAAAACTATGGAACACTTTCAGAAACTGTTGCTGAATTTTGGAGCAAAATGTGACCATTGATTAGGACTCCGTTCGCACTGTTGAGAAATGATGGCAGGAGCGGGACAGCTGTTGCTGATTCTGCTGAGATTTCACTGAAGTCCAGATTCTGAAAAGTGACTGCGGACCTGAGATTGTATACGTTCCGTGTGGCTGAACACCAGCTGTTTCCCAGCCTGAAGGGGAGGATCGATGGAAAAGACCTTCTTTCTCTATCTAAATGTGCAGATGTATTCTAGCTTTGGGTCTCAAAGTTTAGTAGGGTATCTTAGCTCTGGCTTTATGCGGCACTATCTGCGTTTGTGATTTTTAACCTTCAGCCATTAGCGTTTTGTTGTGATTTGACAGGTATCATGTCACGGGCGTTCTGTGGTTCTTGGCATACCATTCGTTAAGCCCCATGTTAAAGGCTTGTGGGTTTTATTTACTTTGGCAATGGATTGAGACACATCTCTTCAAACTTGCCAAAACAAGGGAAAGTAATGACTATTAGGAAGAGACAGGCTAATGCAAGTACTGAACCATGCAACTGTATCTGCAACTGATTTGCTGTTTTGTTTCTCATAGCACAGGTGCAGCAATGATCAATGGCTCTCAACATCCATCTTCATCGTCATCTGTCAATGATGTGTCTTCAATGTCAACAGATCCAACATTGGCCTCTGATACAGACAGCAGTCTAGAAACCTCAGCTGGACCTCTGGGTTGCTGTAGATGACTACTTGGTCTTTTGGGGGGCGGGAGGGGGGTCCTTTTAGTCATTAATAGGGCACCTTTAAAGTTTGGTGGTATTTTTGAGTGTTTTTTCAAAAATAATCGTAGAATTTATCATAAAGTGCTGTAATTTTAAACTGTAAGTTGTGTTAAAAGCAGCCACTTTTTTTGCTGTAATTAACTGTAAAATATTAAACCTGATAATTTTTATTGTGGTTTTAAAATCTGCATATTTGCTTTACTATTATGCTGCTGATCTTTTTTTTACTGAATTTGTAAGATTTATTTTATCAAAGCACATATTAATGTTGTGGTCATTACCATATAATGAATTATTTAAGATTTTATAGGTTTTCAATTTTTTAATTAGAAGTTATTCCAGATGTTTTGTTCATGATATCCTTCAAAGTTTTAGGCTTGGTCATATGTCTGTGTCCAGGTGGAGGGGGAGAGAATTCAGTGCAGGCAGCTGTAGTTTTGGACATACTACTGTAGCTCTGGCAGTGAACAAAATCCTCTTTTATTTTGGCCACTTGCCTCTAATGCTTCAGCAAAAGCAACAATTTGTGAATTTTTTTAGAGAAACAGTGTAAAATCCTTTGCAAAGTGACCTCATCTGAATGGTTTTACTAACTTAAGAAAACAAAGCCTATCTCCAAAGCTGCAGAAATATCTAGCCCAAGAAAGTAACGTGGTGTTTTCTGCAGCGTTGTGGCATGCCAAATCTTGTGATCGCCATAAAACACGAGGATACTTCATGAATAATACATTGCAATGCAAATAAACTGTTTACTTCTAGCTTGTAGCCTGTTTTTGTACACGCAGAACAAAGTGTAACCAGGATGTCTAGACTGCCATGAGGGACGACGAGTATGCTGTAGCTCTACTTCCATGTAATATGTGATTCTTGGGAGTTTTGTTTCTTACTAGATTTGTCTACTAAGGTGAGTGCTTTTTGGGTAGAAGAGGGAATGACATGAATGCGGTAGGGGCAAAACTTCAGCTGTTCTTTCGCCACCAAAAGTAACTGATTGCTAAAAACCATGAAGTGGTAGGAGAACCTCAGGATTTCTGTAGCTAATGCATTAAGTGAGCAATATATGCCATCCAAAGGAGGGAGAAGTAGTGCTGTATAAATTAATATTTATCTCTTTCATTTCACCATGAGACCAGTGTAGCAGAAATCTTAATAATGGTTCATTTTAAGTCATAAATATTCAGTAGTTTTCAGCACTGAAGTTCCAGGTTTCAATACTTAACATGTTTAGTCCTTTCCTTCTGTTGTTACTTCCGTAGATGCACAGCTGAGGGATTTTCTGGGTAATGAGCTGCCATTAGCCTAGAAACCTTCTGGCCAATGCAGAGGGTGTAGGGTTCACGTTAAAAGCACTTCTGGCCTTTTTAAGGATGAGTAAGTTCTGTAAGTGGAAGATACAGTTGCTGCTTTCATTTGGAGTGGCTGCTTATGTGCCAATATAGTATTCCATTTCATGGGGACCTTTAGATGTTGTTGCTGAGGAAATTTAGTGGCAAATGTGTGTCGGGAGGATGGCAGTGCTGTTTAGGTTGTTCCTACCTGTTCCTTTGAAGACTGCTGATGGAGTTTATCTGTAACCAAAGAAGCCATTGATAAAAACTGAGTGGTCATTAAGACTCAGTTTAACCTCGGGTCCCCCGGGAGCCTGGGCAGAGAGTCTTACAGCAATGTCAGTGTGTTCTTGAGAGTGCCAGGCCATTGTAGCTCCAACAGAAAAGAACTATGCATTTTTATATCACTTGTCAGTTGTTCTGTAGCCCCTACAGCCTGTTGTTCAAAACTAATTCAAAACAGTAATAAACCTGTAAAATTTAAATGCACGTTTTAATGGGAGAAGTATTATCAATCCAGGGATTTGGGTTTGCAAATTCATTTTTTGCCTTCCCTTCTCTACATTTTCAGAGTTAATATACAAGGAAGTCATGGACCTGGAGGAGAGAACCAAGAACGGGGTTATACGTGGACAACCAGCCCCTTTAGGTTGGTTACAATAAAAGCACAGTATCAAGCTACACTGAGTTGTAGGTCAGGAGGGAGCAAAGCTGTTCAAGACATCCAAGAGTACCCTAGCTCAAAAATATGGCTATTAAATGACCGATAACTCTTGGATTCTCTTTGAGGTATTGCTTCTTTGAATGGAAGGTATGGGGTTGACATCTCTTTTTATTCATCTGATAAATTCCTCTGTTAGTGTCCCCGTGTAACTGATGCTTCATTCGTTTCAGTCCTCAAGAAACATCTTGGTATGTACTAGTCCTCTATTGCCGTGATCTGGTTAGATGTGTAACCTGTAGCTGGTGCAGTTTCAAATCAAGATCTAACCACTATCTGTTAACTAATGAAACAGGATTTCTAGGTTGTCTGCCTTGAATATTCCCTCTAATCAGAAAGGAAAACTATGGAACACTTTCAGAAACTGTTGCTGAATTTTGGAGCAAAATGTGACCATTGATTAGGACTCCGTTCGCACTGTTGAGAAATGATGGCAGGAGCGGGACAGCTGTTGCTGATTCTGCTGAGATTTCACTGAAGTCCAGATTCTGAAAAGTGACTGCGGACCTGAGATTGTATACGTTCCGTGTGGCTGAACACCAGCTGTTTCCCAGCCTGAAGGGGAGGATCGATGGAAAAGACCTTCTTTCTCTATCTAAATGTGCAGATGTATTCTAGCTTTGGGTCTCAAAGTTTAGTAGGGTATCTTAGCTCTGGCTTTATGCGGCACTATCTGCGTTTGTGATTTTTAACCTTCAGCCATTAGCGTTTTGTTGTGATTTGACAGGTATCATGTCACGGGCGTTCTGTGGTTCTTGGCATACCATTCGTTAAGCCCCATGTTAAAGGCTTGTGGGTTTTATTTACTTTGGCAATGGATTGAGACACATCTCTTCAAACTTGCCAAAACAAGGGAAAGTAATGACTATTAGGAAGAGACAGGCTAATGCAAGTACTGAACCATGCAACTGTATCTGCAACTGATTTGCTGTTTTGTTTCTCATAGCACAGGTGCAGCAATGATCAATGGCTCTCAACATCCATCTTCATCGTCATCTGTCAATGATGTGTCTTCAATGTCAACAGATCCAACATTGGCCTCTGATACAGACAGCAGTCTAGAAACCTCAGCTGGACCTCTGGGTTGCTGTAGATGACTACTTGGTCTTTTGGGGGGCGGGAGGGGGGTCCTTTTAGTCATTAATAGGGCACCTTTAAAGTTTGGTGGTATTTTTGAGTGTTTTTTCAAAAATAATCGTAGAATTTATCATAAAGTGCTGTAATTTTAAACTGTAAGTTGTGTTAAAAGCAGCCACTTTTTTTGCTGTAATTAACTGTAAAATATTAAACCTGATAATTTTTATTGTGGTTTTAAAATCTGCATATTTGCTTTACTATTATGCTGCTGATCTTTTTTTTACTGAATTTGTAAGATTTATTTTATCAAAGCACATATTAATGTTGTGGTCATTACCATATAATGAATTATTTAAGATTTTATAGGTTTTCAATTTTTTAATTAGAAGTTATTCCAGATGTTTTGTTCATGATATCCTTCAAAGTTTTAGGCTTGGTCATATGTCTGTGTCCAGGTGGAGGGGGAGAGAATTCAGTGCAGGCAGCTGTAGTTTTGGACATACTACTGTAGCTCTGGCAGTGAACAAAATCCTCTTTTATTTTGGCCACTTGCCTCTAATGCTTCAGCAAAAGCAACAATTTGTGAATTTTTTTAGAGAAACAGTGTAAAATCCTTTGCAAAGTGACCTCATCTGAATGGTTTTACTAACTTAAGAAAACAAAGCCTATCTCCAAAGCTGCAGAAATATCTAGCCCAAGAAAGTAACGTGGTGTTTTCTGCAGCGTTGTGGCATGCCAAATCTTGTGATCGCCATAAAACACGAGGATACTTCATGAATAATACATTGCAATGCAAATAAACTGTTTACTTCTAGCTTGTAGCCTGTTTTTGTACACGCAGAACAAAGTGTAACCAGGATGTCTAGACTGCCATGAGGGACGACGAGTATGCTGTAGCTCTACTTCCATGTAATAGCCAGGATGTCTAGACTGCCATGAGGGACGAGTATGCTGTAGCTCTACTTCCATGTAATATGTGATTCTTGGGAGTTTTGTTTCTTACTAGATTTGTCTACTAAGGTGAGTGCTTTTTGGGTAGAAGAGGGAATGACATGAATGCGGTAGGGGCAAAACTTCAGCTGTTCTTTCGCCACCAAAAGTAACTGATTGCTAAAAACCATGAAGTGGTAGGAGAACCTCAGGATTTCTGTAGCTAATGCATTAAGTGAGCAATATATGCCATCCAAAGGAGGGAGAAGTAGTGCTGTATAAATTAATATTTATCTCTTTCATTTCACCATGAGACCAGTGTAGCAGAAATCTTAATAATGGTTCATTTTAAGTCATAAATATTCAGTAGTTTTCAGCACTGAAGTTCCAGGTTTCAATACACTTTTTAAACAAAAGATATATTGAAATATGTAGAACAGTTACTAAATAGTCATGTAAAATGGTGCTGCTCCTCACAGAAGTATTTTAACTGTTTACATTTTATATTTACAGAATGATTTATGTATAACTGACTTAAGTTTATGTATGAGTTAAACAATCATTCAGAATTTATTCCTTTGGAAAATGCAGATTTTTAGTGAACCTAGGCTGTATAATTGATTGCCTTGTGTAGATGCATATTTTGTGTAGTGATTTAGAATGTGAAGAGGAATTTAAATTAGTAACGCTCACAAAAAATGAGCATAGAAAAATACAGAAGTCTTGCCAGGCACAGAGCATAAGCAAATGGTGTAACTGGCCACAGAGGTCATCCAGGAGTGACTGGTGCTCTTCAGTGTGGTTCCTTCTGCTTGTTGGGTTAAGTAGGTGTCTTTCTGAAGGAAAATTTGCTGTTGCAATAGGTTTCAGAAAAATAGAAGCGATAGTAATGCTTTTAATATCTAACGTCTTTTTAAAAAACTTCAGGGTTACAAGGAATGGTAGTGTCTCAAAGATGACTGAGTTGATAAACTGCACAGTTGTTTTCCTGGCCTGGCTAGACTGCTGGTAAGTGCTGTGTGCGTGTAATTTTGCTTTCCTCACTTGTATCTAATATTTCGGTATTGCCTTTCTAAAACGCATTTGTTAAGGCAATTATTTTTACAGGATCCTGCCAAATTGTATATTACCTCAGAATAGGCAGGACATGTCTGGATTCATCTAGCACTGGAACATAGAAAATCTGCTCAAGTTGAACAGAGACCAACAGAACAGTCTATTTTGTAATTTTTTATCGAAGCTTAAGCTGTGAATTAAGCCAGTATTTTTGGCCGTACAACAGTACTGCATTGTTATATATGGTCAAATGATATTCTGCCAACCCAACGCAATGAAGTTAAGGCTGACAAAATCAACTTCTGATGCCTGTAAATGCTGTTAAGGACAGAATTTGGTCAATATAATTACTATTTAAATTTATTTTGGACCCCTCTGGATTGCAGTGGTGACTGAAATATTTTGAAACTTTAAAACCATTTTTGCTATCACTTTCCAGTGTCCTAAAGAAAAATTGCTTTAAAATGAATATGGAGTGAAGTGGTTACTAAGCTTTTATCACAGTCTGCTGTCTATCAGCAGTAACTTCATGGGGTTGATCAGCTCTAAGGAGAATTGAGCTTCTCTTCTTTTAAGGTAGGGTTGATGGGTGGGACCCATTGCAGCGTGTGAGCTATGTTAAAGGGGTTATTTCAGTCAGGTCAGAGCTTTGCCTGCAGGAACCTAGAGTTCACTTTTTGGCACCATCTTCATAGCAGTGTTGTGATTTTTTTTTTTTTCCTTTTCACTTGCTTGCATTTTAGGCAAATTACAGTGATAGCAAATTTCAAAGACAAGAAAGTCTGATGCGGTAACGAAATTATCATAAAGACATGCTAGTCTTAACTTCCCTTTTTATTTGTTGAAATATAAAATTATCTCATAGGTAGTTGTACACTGCCACAGGTAGCAAACAGATGGGTAGCTAGAGTTCAGCTGACTTTGTCTATTGTTGGTAGCTCATATACTATCTAATACACTGTACAATTTTATTCTTAAAGTGTTATTAAGCTTTATTTTAGTCTGTGATTCCAAAACCTTCTCGTGACAACAGGCTTCCCTGAAGTGCATGCAACTTCCCACTTCAAGGGCTGTTCCAATCCGTTGGGAGTTGGTAGGGAGTGAATTACAGGGAGCTGTGCCTGATTTCTTATGTCAGGTGAGGTTAGAAGTTGGGCAATAATAACGAGATGAATTTCCACCTTCTCTGGTCAGAGCTGGGGCAGGCGTCAAGGATAAAATAGCTCCTCTCCTTTTGTAGGAATAGGTTCTTCAAGATTTTGAAATAGAACTGGGAATGAAATCTGTTACTGTGCGCTGCACCTCTGCTCTGTGAAGTCTTTGTTAGTGCAAGACATTGGGGTCGGAATTGAGGTTTCTGTGTGTTGGTGTGTGTGAGAAGCTGGACTGCCAGGGCAGGACCCATCAGCTGAACAACCTTAGGCCGGCCTGACTGACCAGGTCACCTCCAGTGCACTCATTCTGCTAAGCTGAAGGGCGCTTTTCCCTATGTAGGCACTGTGCGGCTTGGGTTTTTAGTTTAGAAGGACCTTACTACAATATACGTAATGGCGTCTTTCTGGGTAGGAATTCCAGCTGGACACAAAGGTAATAACAGCATAAATTGTCCCGTAAGCGCCGCCGTGCCCAGACTGGCGTGCCTTCGGGGGAGGACGGGGCGAGCTGTGTTTGAGGCGGTTGTGGCGATGGCACCCTCTGCCACCCCCGTGCCCGCGAAGTAGTGTTACTGATGTGGGTTTGTTCTGTGGATAATTGCTTCTCTGAACACAGACTATTTTACTTGTTGGAGAGCAAAAATAAAGTACCTTAGCAGGTGTCTGCATGAATATAACACTCCTGCATTGATGTAAGTCGCATTCATCTCAACATTGCATAAAGAAAAATGATCAAAAAGGTAGGACGGGGGGAGAGTTCCTACCCAGCCAGTGATGCAGAGCATACGGCCTTACGTTTCTCGGGTAAGATGATGGGGGAAAGGGGAGGAGGTGGTTCAGCTTATGCTTGGTCTGACTGTTCCGAGTTGCTAGAGGAAGTGAATTACTGTTTCTAGAGAGGTTTTTATTTGCTGCTGAGAGCAGCTTGTCACATTTTGGTTTCCCATCAGTGTTTTGGTTCTTACGTATTTAGTTTGAGGACGGGAGTTGAAGGAGGGCTGCCTGCGTTTTTCAGTAAGATTAGAAAGAGGGGTTTAATGGAGAGATGTGATGAGACTCTACTGCCTACCCTAAGTTTCAATTTACTTATTCTTAGTTAAGGGCACTGGATAAAAGTGGTATTTTAAGCAATCTCTTTCACTCCCTTCTTCTCCTCTTTAGATATCCCTGCATTACAGAAACGTGTTATGAATCAGATCCCATTGTGTTTCTACTTCTGCAGTTAAAAATTTAAGCTAGGTTTTCTTGAACTACCTCACACAAACTTTCTACGTTTCTTAAGTAAGCAAAGCTAACCCTTGCTATTGGAACTACACTGAATGTGAATAGAAAAATACACTTCCTTTAGAAAAATAAACTGATTGGCCAATGTTGAGACAATATCAGTAAGTATGTTTCTTATATATTTCACGTAAGATGTTCATGTGTAATATATAGCTCGTGTACAATAATGTACATCTAGAATATTGTGTTAGCTGTAAATTGGTGATTTTATTATTGTAGTCTGGTTTTGTAGGTAAAAATAGCTTACTAGTAATGTCAGCTCATCCTTTACATTTTACAAAAGGAATAATTCTTGGTAAGCTTTGCATACAGATGAATTACTTTTGTAGGCCCAATATCTAGTCTATTTTTGAGAGTTCTTTAACTTTTATTACTAAAGTTGAGAAAAAAAAAAACCCTAATTATTGTGATCATTCCTTCTGCCCCTTTTGAAATATATTCTTAATTTTATTTTGTCCCAAGAAATACGAAGGGGAAGATACACCATTAAAAATACTGGGAAAAAAATGTAATTTTTTTTCTTCTTCCCCACATTTGATATGTTTTCCTGCTTTTCCTTTATTCCCTCCAAATAAGCTGTTGGTGGGGCATTACTGAGAACATTGTGGTTTTTTTAATCATTCATGCCATACGTCATTACATGTGCACCACTGGAATGTATACATTGTTATCTAGTATGTCAATTGGTTATAATGATATTTTAAATAAAAAAGGAAAAAAAAGGTTGGCTACTATGCATTTAGCGTTTCTTCATTACGAGGCTGGAATGGATTTTGTATGGATTTCGTAATAAGGCTGCAGTTGGGGTTTTATTAACATCAGTCCCTCCTGAGAATTCATCTGTTTTTAATGGTGCTTAATGTCCTGCCTCGTGTGTGTGAGGTCACCTGTGGGCAATGTGACTCGTGCCTTCCATCGCTGCAGTCCCATGGCTTGGGATGCGCCACAGGCTGGTCATATCGAGTGTGTTTGCGACTGCTGGGACTCCATTCTTCCTTGCTGCCAAACCAGCCGCCGCCTTCCCTGGAAATGCAGCCGCTGAGCCCCTGTGTTGCAGGAAGAGGTGAGCCGTGGGCTGCCTGGTGTCGAAAGGAGGGCCCAGTCCTGGGCGCCTCAGGAAAAGGTTTCTCAAAACTGAGTCTCAGAGAAGCCTGAAGGATCTGGCTGAGCTCTCACTGCAGAGCTGACGTGGCTGCCAGGACGCTTCCTGCCCCGGCACCTCTGCAGTGGGGCTAAACCCTAACGCAGTGCGTTTTGTTGCCTTCCTTTCCAGCAGGCGCTCAGTGTTTCTTTAAACAAAGTCTCGAGACGCCCCTGAGCTGTGTTTGTGTGCTGTTACATTGTCTTTGTGTTCCTTTTTAAGGGAAAGGTACTGTGACCGGGGGCAGTACAGCACAGCCTGCTTCGTTTCACTGGACCAGCTGCTGGTGAGGTGCTCTTCTAGGAATGTGGTGAGGCTCAGAAATGCTTTTTTATTTATGTATGCTAGCATAAAGTGTAGCTGATTCCAAGTAAGTAATATATTAACATAGGTGTGAGGCAGTTTTAAGTCTGCCAGGGATTTGTCTGTGGGTGACTTCAGCCCAGAACTGAGATGCTCCATAGTGCTGCTGCCTTGTATAGCCCTACTTGGCAAGTGTAGATAATTCAATAAGCTATCAATCACTATTCATTTTCCTTTTCATATTAGAAATACCATGCAGACCCACAGAACTTTTTTGTTATTCTGGAACGCTGCTGTTTGGCTTTGGATTTTTTTTAAGCATATGCTTGTGATGGGTTTCTTTCACTGAAAATTGCTTACACTTGGTTTTGCCTGCATAATACTGGATTTTCCAGGCTGGGAAGATTGCACAGGTAAAGCTATGGTCAAAATGTGTCTACCTGATTCCAGGAGCCTTTTGTCATGTCTTATTAACACGAACAAACCTGTATCTTGTAAACGCTTGCTAAGAAAGCTGGCACTTTAAACTAGGGGCTGTAATAAGCTAAAGGTCTGGAAAATAAGGAGTGCTCACTCAGATCCATGAAGTTGGCAAACGAAGTGGTGGGAGAGTACAGAAGCAGGAGTTAAAGCTAGGAAAGAGCGTATCATCTGCCTCAAATAAGGGCAGAGTGTTTCAGGTGGTTATGTACAACAGCACAGGTGTTGTTCCCAATTCTTGCATAATTGCTCATGATGGGAAATCAGTGTTACGCTCCTGTTGCTGTGCTTTAGAGTTAGCATCCCACTTGGGTGTGTTTTATCATGAACTGGGTAGTATGCAGCTTCTTGCAGGCTGTATTTACTGCAGTGGATCATCTTAAGAAGGACCTGGAATTTATTCCTTATGAGCAAGAGGACTAGAGGTTGCTGGAGCACAAGTCAACTGGGAAAGGGTTAGTTCCATTCGTCAGCCTGAGTGGATATGGTTTCATTTGTGATACTGAAAATAAGAATGAATTTTATCCTGGATGCCAGATTAAGATTATGTAGTGCTACACAGCTGAGAGATGATCCTTTCCTGGAGCTGACGATTTGGGATAGATGGGTTTGTTCCCCAGTTCTGCTATATGTAGCAGTTACCTAAGTTTAAATACTTAAAGAATATCTAGAATTCCAGCTGCATTTGGTTTCACTGAGTTAGCCAGCAGTCCTGTTTAGTGCTTGTCTTGCATATTTATTTTTTCAGGCTCCCAGTCAGCATGGCTCAGTTCTTAAGTTTGTAGTGTGCCAAAAATAAAAGGGAGTAGTCAGCACGTGGTAGGTACAGGAGATAATGCAATATAAATCGTCTCGGGGAGGTGGGTTGTCAGGGAGGACACAGGTAACCATGCACTAGAAGAGGGCATTAAAATAACCTGCTTGCTACTGCTGCTTGGATTGAATGCCTCAGCAGAAACTTTACTTTTACCAATTCTGATGCTCTAATTGCAGAGAATTACTTACAGCCCAGTTCAGGCCACTCTCTCATAACATTAAGGTTTATTTTGTGTTGACTGGCATGGTACTTAATGCTACCTAAACCACTGTGCTGTTCCAGCTCAAAATCAGTGTTAACAGCCATTGCGCCTTACATTGTGCATCTCAGTGCTGCTGTTTTAAACAGGCCGTTGTCTTCCTTGCAGGATCAGTTGTTGGGGAGGGGGTGGAAAAGAAAATCATGGCAATGCTACTGCCTGCAGGTGCCAGGCTGCTCC